TCCAAAAAGCAAGCCATAACAAGAATAGGATATCGGCCAGGTTTTGCCCCAGAAGCATTGAATTGGAAAAAACCATCAAAATCCAGGCCGTTTGACCCTGCCTGCAACAGTGCATTGTGGGGTTCGAACCCCAGTTCAGGCACCCTTTTTGGACTCTTTTTCAAAGTTCAAATTTCGCGTGTGTACATGAAATCACGAAAAATCGCCAAATACGGGAGCTCGCCAGAGCCAGGGCCCATCTTTTTCTGAATGGACTGTAGAGAATTTCATGTTGTTTCTAGAGGGAAGAATCTTGTCATTACCCTCCAGCAACTGCTCTTATCTCTGACCTTTCCCGCAAATGAACTGAAAAGACAACGAGTGCTCTCTTCCGATCTCTTTCAAAGCCACAAATCAATTTTACTGCGCTTGAAAGTACATGATTGTACTCGTATTCACTATCGGATGGAGTGCAAGGGCTGGAATACTGTCACTCATATACATGCATAAAAAATTGTTAGCACTCGTTTTGAACACTAACGATTATCGATTGCACTCTTAACGATCGATATGCGAGTTATCGGTATAATTGTTTCAGCCCTAATTTGTATGCAAAATGTCACTAAAAGCGCCATTTCGTTCTTATAAAAGCACGAATGACCGCGATTGGCCCATATGTTGCAGTCTTTTGGATGCTGAGTCGACTGGTTTTGGTCCGAGAAAGCTGCGATGCAGCGTTCCTCCTTTATTCCCAATCGAACATGGTTGAACAAGCGGTCACGTGCTCCTGGGTGCCCAAATCACCTGATCACCGCGCCAGCAGGCGACAACTTTCACACCAAGGTTCAACTCGAGTTCAACTCGAGTGACAGGACTGCACCCAAAAAAGGTCAAACAGGCTAGTAAGTTGTACCCTGCAGGCACGGTGGCCAGGTGACTGGTGTACGCAGGAGCACGTGACCGCTTGTTCAACCATGTTCGATTGGGAATAAAGGAGGAACGCTGCATCGCAGCCTTTTCGGACCGAAACCAGTCGACTCAGCGTCCAAAAGACTACAACATATGGGCCAATCGCGGTCATCCGTGCTTTTATAAGAACGAAATGGCGCTTTCAGTGACATTTTGCATACAAATCCCCATCTAGTAGGGCGCAGTCACCCAGTTTCGGTGGAAGTGCGCGAGTTCGATTGGGATTCAAGTAGGAAGGGAGCGTCTAAGCTTCCTCGAACCAAGACCATTCGACTCAGCACCCCGAAGACTGCAACTGGTGAAATTTTGATTTTAGCCTTAACTTCCCCTTTAATCATGAAAATCGTTCGAGTTTGAGCAAGAAGCTGGTAAAGATGGAGTTGTTGTGGCGTTCCAAGGCATTATGGGAAGTTTGGAGAAGACAAGGAAGTGGTCCTTGTTGTTTGTTTATTCGGAGTCGACGAACAAACAGGCAAATTTGCCTAATTACATGATATTGACTAAAAGAAGAATAAGTATACAGTAAAGGGAAATGATAATAAAGCGGGCAGTGGCGTTAGTGAAAAGCAGAATGTGCTGGGAGGGATCGCATGAATCGGTGGTCCTGTGAGATTTTCCTGACGTTGGGCTGGAGCCTGTTCCACAGTGATACACATTGGAATGAGACAGCATGTGTGCCAGCGGATGTCTTAGTAACTGGACATTTAACTGCGCGATTTCCCTGACTGCGTGTAGCACGGTCCTGATTTGCATATTCTGCTGCAAGTTATCAGGATGGATTCGCTTGGTCCTGATCTTTCCAACAAGTCCAAGATGATGGAAATCTATCAAGGCGACTGAAATGAGAGAACAATTTGTTCGGAGGTGTGCATGCAAACTCCATTAGGAGAGTCAGTGCGCTCGAAAGCAAGTTGTACTAGAAAAAAGGTACCAGCATGGAAAAGGTTATGGTTAGGTTCACATATTGCCAGTACGAGCCTAAAGTGCCTTTCGCAACCTCACCAGGCGGGTTGCAGTTATTTGAACCAGTGCATCCCGTACACTTGAATCGTATCCACAATATCTCCTCTGGTATCGGTGCTGACCGGGAGCTAGCCTATCTCCGATGTCCTCTGGCGCCCATTCGGCTTTTGTGAGCCAGGAGTGGTACGGAAACGACACAAGCGGAAAGTATGTGCGCTCCGATTCTGAACTTCGAAGTTCTACGTGATCCTTGGTCTAGGTTGCTCGCGATCGGATCACAGGCTTGACCTGCTGGTCCCAAGCGTTATAAAAAAAAAACGGTGCAATATGTGAGCGTGTACGATGTGAATAGCAATTTCTGGACATGAAAATAAAATAGAGGCCCACTGGCTGTGTGTTTTACATTTTTCATATCTTTTTGTATCTATTGTATGGCCTAATCCTTCATCTTTCCAAATATGTGACAATTGCTCATGCTGTGATCCCAGAGACTTTATAGCAGGATGTTTCGACAGGCCAATTTGTTGGCCTAAATTTCAATGTATGGAATTCTGGACATGAAAGTAAAATAGTGTCAATAGGGATCCTAAACTGCACCATTTTTGTTATTTTTTCTATTGGTGGACTGCAGTTGGCCTCTTCACACTTCCAGCCAACGGGTCCAAGACTATACAGCGTCTGAAGTGAAGTGCACATGGGGAAGCCAACGATTCGTCCATTACTTCTTATTTTACTCAAAATTTAAAATTCACATGCGACATAGTACCACAAAACTCGTTGAAATGCCTCCCAAGAAAAGGCTATCAACAAGGCACCGACACGAGGAGAAACTACAACAGCCCAGCTGTCAACTACAACAAGAAAAAACTTCATCAACCTGACTGACTTGACTCTACACGCGACGAAAAATTATTTTACTCGAAATGTCCAGAAATGTACAATGTCCAGAAATAGAAATTCACCTCGTATAAATCGGTCCTGCCCCAAGGGCGACGGCAATAGGCAGTCCAGGGTCGACATCCACAAGATTCAGCGTTACAGTCGCCCGTGTCTTCTCCCTGTACACTACGATTCCAATGTGAACCAAATTCCTAAGTTTTGGTGTAGTTCTCATCTTACCAGACCATACAACATTTTCACAGACTTCGATTTTACTGTAAACCAGTCCAGGACATGTCCTAGATAGGACATCCCGGAACCCAGCATACATCTATGCTGTTCCCATAGTAATCGTGACACGTGATTCAAAACTTCGTGTTGCGTCCGAGGAAGATGAACATGTCGCACTCAAAACAAACACAACGAAGGCCTTTCGTCTCAAAAGTTGTCGTTCTCCTGGTGGCTTGCCTCAAGCGAGTCGAGATTCGTATCTTGCCTCTTGCCTTCACAAATTCTACTTTCCTCGTTGTGGAGTACGCCTGGACAAAGGAACTGGCAAGCGAATCGTGTTGGTCGCATTGAAAATTGCAAGAGCACAAGAGGGATTGGCAAAGCAATTTGTGTTCGCACTTTCAGCAGAGCAATACTGTAAATATACAAAATTTCGGCACTTCACGATTTTTGACATTTCGGCGGCGATTTATTTTCGGCGTGGGGTAGAGGGCATGGTATAGTGCGACAGATGCTGTGAAAATTTCATCGGCGTTTTAATGTAGGCGTTTTGGGTCGGTGCCGAATATAGCCGAAATGAAATAGCTGCCGAAAATTTGTATATTTACAGTAGCTGCTGGTGCGATGAAGTTTTTACTTTCGCCATTGGTCTCAGGCAGCAGAAGGGTCTGGCTGAAAGCGATACGTCCATGACCACCACGCCCAATGGGGCACGTCCTGGGTTGATGTCCAAGAAAGACCGTCCAAGGCCCAGTTTTAGCCAGGAGATGTCGTATCCAAGAAATCAAAAAACGCCAACAGCAAGCTATGGCCAAGTAATATCTTCCAGGCAGTAATTTACGGGCCTAGCGTCTGCTGCCTTGTCTTTCTCCTCTGCAGGGCCAGGTTTGGGGCGAAATGAACGCAAGGGGCGCGAAGAAACATTCCAAAGACAAACATTCAAAATTAGAACCAATCGTTTCCAAAGAAAAGCCGCGTGACTACGAGAAACCCTACACGAAATCCCCGAAGGAAAACGGCCATTCGTTCGGGTATTCGATGGCGAATCGAATATGCAATACCTCAATCCCCGCCGATCTCCGATATTCTCCACCTTTTCCCTCAAACTTGACCAATTTGCAAAGAAATCCATCGCCATTATGATCGTGCATCCTCCACATACATTCAGAAATGCTCGCGCAGCACTTCGCGTGTGCGCGACCGACGCTTCCATGACAACACTGGGACAGGTGATCAATCAGAACGAGATGTCCTAGATAGGACATCTCCCAGACCGGTAAACTACACAGGCTGGTGGGATGCCGTCCTCACTGTACCCCCCCCCCCCCCCCCCCCCCCCACACACACCCACCCACACTGCACACCCACACTACTCACTAGTACGTGGAGCCCCAATGCATACTCTATTCATTAGAGGGATTGAAAAGGGCAACAAAATCAATAATGTTGAGCAGTCTCTCATGGGATGACATCTACACAATAGCTCAGTGGTTAGAGCATGGTTGGCCTCAAGCGAAGGTCCCCTGTCGAGTCTAACTCTTGGTGAGGACTTTCCCTTTTCCGTTCCCTCAACTAATGGAAATAACAGTGAAGCTTCTCGAGAAAATACGGTCCTGCATAAGCCGCTAAATGTGCGGGTGGTGTCGAGAACCATTCTCTGCAAGCGCGAGTACTTGCGTAGGTAGATACACCATTCACGATCAAGTTCATTTCGAGCACCAACACTGCAACTGTCCAACACCAATTCTCAATTTTTCATATTCGCGTGACAGTACTAGTCCAGAGACGCGAATACTTCTGGCACACTCTCGGTATCTTCAGAAAATAATACAGAGCGCTTTACATGATTGCGCTCAACATACGACCACCAAAACATAGCCAAGTCAATTCTCGGGAACGTGTCACTGGACCAACAATTCTTCTCCACTTTTCAAAAGTGTAAGTCTAAAGAACAAGTCACAAGTCACAGATAAACATACCTTGGGCTTCGGCTTGTACAGTTATTTCACTAGCAACTCAGTAAGCTGAGGCGCAACGCCGACCACGCAGGGGATTACGAGTATTGAAGAGTGGAGACCACTACTGAGGAACACTTTGGCTGGAGACACAGGCTGAGAAGCTATGTAGCCTCGCCAACGTCGACGAAGGAAAAAGAACTTCTCCAATCGGCAATCCTACTCCATCCAACTCCTTGTGACTGTTAGAATAGAATCTGAACACTGTAATTATTTTATGAGTTCGGCAGAGACTGACTGATTTCGTATCTACACAAATTTGAGACGAAGCGGCGCAGACCAACTAACCGAGTTGAACACAGCCGACTGTAGATCTACGGACGGTCACACTCCGACTCGCAGATAGATGAGAATCATGTTCACGAGGGCCCAGCTACAGTCAGTGGTGACTAGCCAGTGCAACTGACCACTACTCTACTTACACTGTTACAGACATTGTACTGTACTCTTTACTGACTTTAGTTTAGTCTTGCTGACAGCATGCTAGCACTGTCTTTACAGTCTGCGTCCTCGCGACATCGCGCGAAACGTTCCCCATTTTTTGCACGGCAGCCGAAAACGCGCATACGGCTAGCTGATTGCTTCGCGCGATCGCGCAACAAGAATAGCTAGCGGCACCGCGTATCGGCGCTGGCGCTTGCGGCCCTGCTTTGCGCGCCTTCCGAATAGTGACAAATCGCGGTAAAGTCTAGCGCTAGCGCGCGGGAAGTGAGACAACAGTAGTCAGTAGTCAGTGTCAGTAGATCTACCGTCGAGAATAGCGTGAACGGTAAAATAGTACTGTACTGTCTAGTCTGTAGTCTGTAGCGGACATGGAATCAACATGTGCACTGCACGCAGCGTTCTGTACGCGCGCTGAGCTGAGGGCGCCGGCCCGGCCCGCGGGCCGGCGCCCGGTCAATCGACTGGATTTGTTGTTGTTATTAATAATAGCGAGGTTTTGCATTCCGAAATTCGGCAAAAAGATTCGGCACGCGGGAGCGCGCGAGGCCGAAAATGCACGCGAAGATTCGGCATGTTTGTTCGGAAAAAGCTCACTTTGCCGAAATTATTTTTCGGATGAATTTTCTGTAGAAGAGCGCTAGCGCGTGATTTATTCAAAGAGATTTCTTATCTCGGCATCGCTTCCCAGGCGTCTTTGGCGACATCAGCGTCGTCAGCTACCTCTGATTGCTCCTCCACTGCTTGTCTACTCTCTTTCGCCTGGAAGGCTGGAGTGTCCTCACCGTCATCTGTGTGGCTGAAAAGACTATGGCGATACTCATAAAATTTGACTTGGCCATGGAGTTGGTTTTTCTGAGGCGACTGAGGAGACAGGTTTGGCCCTCGGCTCTTAGGCCGATCAAAGTTCGTTGAAATCAGCAAGAATAGGAGCACGGGACAGGACGTTGCTGATGCTAGGGCTCACGAAATGAAAACACATCATTTTCGACTTGCAAAACAAACGTTGGTGCGAAAATTCGACATTTTGATGTTCGACAAATGACCGAAGAGCGCCGAACCGAAATTCGGAATGCAAAACCTCACTAATTTTATTTGAATTCGCAATACCATGTAATGGCGCTGTTAAGTGTGACGTCACGGCCCCTTCGATACGCATAGCAACGGAGAGCACTGGGGACAAACAAAAGTCGCGTGACGCGAAGGACTAAAGCCGTAAAGGGACCGTCACTTAATTTTTGCCGATTACCGGTACCCGCCAAAAAAATCTTTTCGTTTCACGTGTCAGACACGTCCGCGAGCGCGTACGATCGTACGACTCGTACTCGCGCTCGGCCGCGCTACCTTTCACGTCAAGCAATCTGTTCACGCCACATGGCTGGATAGCGCGTACATGCAAACATGATTGAAGACTTGCAAAATCAATATTAATTATAGCAATAAAAACTGCTTTAGAAGCGGTGAGGCCTCCTGCAGTTTCATACAGAATTACAGATGGATGCTTTATGGCAGCTTTCTAAAAAAAAGTTATTGTGTTCTAGTCCTGGGTCCGGCATAGGCTATAGAAAATTTATATAATTGCTTCCAAACTGGCCTGGACTCCGTCTAAAAAGTAAGAAATTAACGAAATGTGAGTGCCGAAAATTAAAATTTCACACAAAACCTCACAATACTCACAACACTTGACAATCAAATACTGCTTTCAACACTTGTTTAGTCTGACACTGTACTTGTACTGCACCAACATGCATGCATGGGAAAGAGGATCACGAAGGGAAAAGGTCTTCTAGCTTTTCATCCTGTGTGTGATTATTGTGAGGTTTTGTGTGAAATTTTAATTTTCGGCACTCACATTTCGTTAATTTCTTACTTTTTAGACGGAGTCCAGGCCAGTTTGGAAGCAATTATATAAATTTTCTATAGCCTATGCCGGGCCCAGGACTAGAACACAATAACTTGTTTTTAGAAAGCTGCCATAAAGCAGTTTTTATTGCTATAATTTCTTTTGTTTTTTCTGTCACCAATCAATGGAATGCCCTTATGTAAATGATGGCCTTCACATCATATCAATACCGTATTATACGCATTGATGTGCAAGCCTTTTCTTGCAGAAAATGGCACTAGCATTATTTATACTTCTGCTGGGGAAACATGTGGTTAGTGGTGGTGATACTTGATACTTTTTTTATACGCAGGTCATTCTGTGCATGTTGCTGTTGCAGAATTTCAGGACTGTCATAAAATTGTCTTGCCTTTCAGATATTTCAGATTTACTTGAGAAACGTAGCCAGGTGCGTGTCGCAGATGTTTTTGTTGATTCTGTGTTTATACATGTAATTGGTTTATAATCATGGGTTATCGTGATAAGGTCATCCTGCATCATATTGCACTGAAATCGTAATCGTGTTGATGTCGATACAACTTTTGGAAGTAGCTCAATGACTGCAAACTGTTAGTCCACGATTTTCTAAAACAACACAGCAAAGGAGGAACAATAAACATGTATTAAAATGTAAACAAATACATTGTTGAGTCCGGTACCTCGTTCCAACAACTACACTGATCCTGAGGATAAAAGGGGCAAGGCCATTGGAGGTTGGAGGTCATTATTATCAAATTGTCAATTTTTTGATAGGGCAATCCCGCAGGCCTAAGGCCTTCTTACAGGGTACCCTGGAGGTACTGTCACTGAGAGATAAACAAGGCACTCCATAATAATAAAATGGTACACATCTTTTGCCGTGAGTATGAATGATATCCAGTCGAACCTCTTTAGGACGAACACCAAGGGACCGATGGTATTTATTCTCTTAACCTATTTTATAACAAGTGAATACATTTCTCCAATAGACATACGAACAGATTTTTTCTACAGCGAAAGATTCTAAGCCACACCGACTCGTCTCGTATGAAACAAATGAGTCACTGAACCTTTCTTTAGCAACATGACGGCAACTGAAACAGCAACAGAGAAAGTACGATACATGTACAGCACATTCTTGCAGGTACTACAAACAGATTGCAGATCGTAATTTTTCTCGGCGGTACTCACAAATCAAACAGCCCAGACTCGAGTAAACAAATCCAATCATACAAGTACGAGATTTTCACGAGACTGCACCCATTGGCTTGTTTCGTATGAAGCAAACAAGTCACTGAACCTCTCCATAATGGAGATTTTCCCTGATATGCGAATTTATTTTGCATACTCGGTCAATGGGTCCTTAAACCTTTCCCTCCAGATTGGGAACTGCCAACGATAGTATGCCACTGACCAGTGCCTTACTTGTAACGTACCAATGTACAATGAACATGAGTATTTCGACAACACATCTAAGCCTCAGCAGCAACATAAGCCTTACCGTCAAGAAGGTGAACTCGCGTTCTTCGCACACTGTAGGCAAGGGCAAAGAGATAAAAAATGGATCTAAATCCGAATAAAATCAGCACACGTTTCCGTAAATGAAAGGGTGAGCATAAGCAAATGAATCGAAGGAAACTGGTCAACTCAGAGATCACTTGTCATCGAGTATTCCGTAAAAGGAGGCCTCGGCAGCGGAAAAGCTAAATTCAGGGCTCACAGCAACCATGCCAAAACCTCGATTACGTGGGAGGACATCTTGGATCTGATCACCATAGAAACGAACTCGCGTGATCGCTAAGCGCAGGCGTAGAACGCAGTCGCGCAAGGAGATTTTGACTTGCTTGGGCTTAGTTGCTGTGACAAGGACTGAGTCGTGAATGGTGAAGGAGATGGCCGGAGACTGTCTCACTTTTGTGACTATCTCTATTTCATTTCGGTAGTTCTTGTTTCCTTCCAAGTGGATTATTTCGCGAGCAGTGTTGGCCTTGTCGGCCAAAGGCTTCATTCAGACTGTCCGCACACGGAGTCCTGCGAAAAGTAGCCCCGAGCAGAATCCTGCAGTCGTTGACGAAAGAGTTCAACATCTACAGCCGGGCAGCTACGCCGCTGATGCACAGGCGCGGGTGACGGGAGAGGGAAAGGACTAGCATTCCTTGACGGCATGGAGCAATGACTCACGTCGTGTTCTAGTTTTAGTTTCTCCGCCGTGAAGTCCTGTTGTGTAAACGTAAATATACGGCTGGTCTGCGAAGAGCCGTGTAGCGCAGTGGTGACGATGTGGAGTTGTGAATTATTTGATTCGCCACTCCGTTTCGTTGCAAGAGAACAAGTCCAATGGCTTCGCCGTTGTGCTGGCCATGTATTTCTTCGGTCTGCCATAACCATGATAACTCCTGGAGGACACTGCGATGAAGCGCCAGGCGAGTAGCAAAAACATTTCAAAAAATTGCTTTGCTGCTAGTGTTGTTTCCGCATTCACAACAAGTGCAGCGCGCGCGGTTCTTCCTCGCGGCTGCACTGCAGATAGGGTTGCCTTTGAAATGTTCGTTTGTACCCGTCTCTGGCCCGATTTTGATGGCCAATAGCTTAAAATTTTCAGTAGGAAAATTAGAAGAACTTCTCCGAGAGACTTTTCAATTTTAGTACAATAATCCAAATCAGAATTACGCCTGCACCTACTGATACTTTGGCTCCATATGTACGCCAAACCGTATCGATTAAAACAAAAAACTCTCGGACAAATCCTTACAATGGGTATTGAGAGTATGTTCCTAGAGTTTCAGAGGCCTAGGCAAAAGCATTGGTACAAATGAACATTTTGAATGCACCCCACTTTCAAGTTTTCAGAGATATCTGCCTGATCGCATGTACATGATTCTGGCATGCTGGCTGGCTCGTGTGACAGCGGCCTGTCCAAAATGGCGCCCACGCTTTTGTGTGATGCTGTGAGCCCTGAAATTAAAAGAGATCCTGTCAGCTTTTCCATTATTTATTGCATTCCGCCCAAAATCAGCACACTTTTCGTAAATGAAAGAGTCAACACAAGCAAATGAATCAAAGGGAACTGGTCAACTCACCTGTCATTGAGTAATATTC